GATGTAAATAGCTTTTTTTAATACAAGGGTTCGATGTTTATAAACACACAGTAATTAAATAAAGCCTTATTTTATGAGCATTTTAAACCCGAAAGTGTATTTTATAAAAACCCAAAAATGGCGCATAAACCTTTTATCTCGTCGGTAGGGGTGTTGAACAAGGTGAAAAACGCTCGATGAAACAACTTGCGAAACATCTTAAGGTTGAGCTGCTCGTCGGGAAAGAGCACGGCCTGTATGACCACTCCTGAGCTACAAATCACCAGCGCTGACATACGCATAAAATTCACAAAATCGACCGTGATCATCAGTTTGAGCCGATACAGTAGGGGGCCGAGCGTTGGACTGATGGGCAGGTGTACGTCAAACAGGCGGTAGTAAAAGTAGATGAGTGCGAACGATAGCATCACTTTCATGGTGTAGTAACCGAATATGCGGCGGTCAAACACCCGGCCGGAAGCGTAGATCACCACGAATACGATGATGGCCACGATCTCCATGCACTTGAATACGATGGGTACCGACGTGTACTTGCGGTACAGTACGAATGTGCGCCGGATGTGCTCCACAAGTATCAGAACTGTTAATAAATGCTAATTAATTAGTAATTAATATTAACTTATATTAATAGGAGTGACTCCCACCACCCCCTCTATAGCCGACAGTACCGTCAACTGCACGGATAACTTGACGGATAACTCCACGGACTCGCACGAGATGTACGGCAACCAAACCCACAATGTATGCCTCGAAGAGCGGGTGTGTCCGGTGGGCGGTGTCTGGCCGTACCTGTTCTCCATCCAGTACTTCATTTTCCTCAAACTAGTGCTCATAACACTGCTGTACGCGCTCTTCGCGGCCACCGCTTCCCGACTGCAGACCGAAACGGACAACATATGGAAATTTCAACGCTATATACTGGTCGTGGACTTCGCCCACCGGTTGCCACTGCCGGCCCCGTTGAACGCATTTTACTACCTGTACTTAGGACTCAAGTCGACCTATCGTTGGATCACGTGTTACTATTGCTGTCGACGCGGCGGCACAGATGCAACGGTTAGTGGTGCCGATCACATCCCACTGTCCACTACTCACTTTCTATGTATGTTTAATTTGGTTGGTTTATCTGTGGCACCGATAGGACGGCCGCCGGCACCGCAATAACGTGATGCTCCCGATGTCGGACCAGTCGGACAAGTATTGCGAGAACCGCTTGACCGAAGAGGACTACAACTTTTGGCGCCATTTGGCCCG